TTTCTGTTAACAGAGTGGGATAAATAAATCTGTTGTCTACAGTATATATAAGTACACCAAAGGCACGACGTTATTTAAATTCATATGCATTGTTTAAGCGTAGCAACTGATTTCTGTGCGTATATCTGCCCGCTGAGTGTTTCGCTTTTCACCTGAACAAGTTAAGGCCACAAGCAAACACTCATGGGACTCTGGTTGTGTCAACAGAACATCTGTTCATTGCTCTTCTTTCTTGTTTTCTCGCTTACTCATTCATGTTAATGTGCTGCACCATCTGCAAACATTGGACCACATAAATTCCGATTCCGACCATCTGGGCGCAGCTCTGCCAAATGGCGTCAGCAATTGCAGCATCTTCAATCGCACCGAACTGAGTGTTGACATACAATGCATACCCGGCTACGATGGCGGCCTGCCGCAAATATTTGTGCTCGAAATGTTTTCAACACGCACCGGCCTTACCAGGTAAGCATATTAATCAGCTACACGTATAAACCGACAACTACAACAAACGGATGGCCACACACACGCACACGTACACAGGCACAGGGAGACATAAAGAGCAAGCACGTTCTCCTCTGTGGATTGCTTATAAGCGGATTACGTTTGGGGAACTTTGCTTAGCTGCCGCCCCAAGGCTCAGCTTTTCAGCATATGTCAAAAAAGTCAAATATGCGATTAAATATTACCCGAGGTTAATCAAACTGTGTTGCAAGTGTATTAATAACATACAAGAAAAAGAAAACGAGTTGAGAAAATTAAAAATAATTCATGACTCGGGCATATATATAGCACGTGTGAATTTAAGTATAGTAAAGGAGTCCCTTAATGCCACATAAATATGGAATAGTTGGGCATGGCATGAATAATACATACATATATGAAGTATGGAAACTCATTTATAAATATATAGATATGTACATATAGAGAAGCTTATTTTCATAACATTTATAAATAAAAGATATATTTATAATGGTCTCCTATACCCAAGCCCGCATCCACTCCCACACGCGCAGTGAGGAGAATTTCTATCTGCATTTGACAGCCTCCTGAAAGCGATATTATTCAATATCAGTTTCAGTTGGACAATTGCGGAGCGACAGCAAAAGCGAGTGAGAGAGACACAGAGAGAAAGAGAGAGAGAGAGAAAGAGACAGGCAGGAGGCGATTCAAAAGCGCCCACAGCTCCTGCTCTTAGCAGGGGGCGGGTGTGTAATTAGGCGTAAAAGAGAAGGCCTTCGGGCCAAGTTGATTCCATTCCAAACGTTTTGCCGGCGTAAATCAACAATTTATATGCATGTCAAATGCGTGTTTAAAAAGATGCGCATTTTATTACCGAGCTCAAACCCAAAAAGAATCGAATCGTATTCATATGCACACACCCACACACGCACACACACACATACACAGATTACATTATGCGGCAGGCAATGTATAAATTTTCTCGAAACGAATCGAAGCGAAACCGCAAACATTTAATAAATATTGCTTATTAAAACAATGCCAAAATGGCCTGAAGGGAGATGTGTTGTTTGGGCAGCGG